TGCCTGCGACTGCGGGCCCAAGTTCTGATCACTTTTATGGAGGGTGGCATGCCCGTTCAGCTTACCTTCATTACCGAGGAGCTCATATCTCATCTTTATGAGCCTGACACAGACACGTTTCAGTATGGTTTGTACCGCCTCAAGACCTTGTATACTGAAGGAGACAGTATCAACTGCTGTAGCTCGTGCGGGAATCTCATTTCCCGACCAGTGGCAGCGACATGCAGCGCCGTCGAAGAGTCTTTTGATCTGGCACCGGTCCCTACAAACAAACCAACAAATCAACCAAAACAGCGTGAAACATTGCAAATTAACAGAGGTCGACAGCTAGCTGCGGCGCACAGACTTTGCCAGTGTTGGCCGTTCAGCACAAGCTACGGTGCCTTAGCGACCGATCCACAACAACCGTGGGCCGTCGCCCAGAGCTGTCGAAACCATCGGTGGAGCCCAAGTCAAGCGGCCGCCGTTCTAGTTCCGTCGAACAACGGACAGCTCCGAGGTCTTATTGTCAAAGTCCACGGAGCCGACAACCAGTGGCGGAGTGCTACAGCTTGTCGACGAGGCCCGCTCAAGCCAAAACAAAATACTCATGGAAAATTTTTCTTGTGGTAGAGACTTGTCATGGCAGCTTTTTTTTTGTTTTCGGCAACTTCAAAAAACAGTGGGAGGGGTTGAGGGCGCAGCCTCTCCCAAAACGCGCAGCTCCCGAATCCAGGGTCGAACGCCCCGGGGAAGGACGACTTCCAGAACCCGAGATTCCATCATAGAGTTCCCCAAACTGCGGGACCGGTTGGTCTGGAGCTCTAGGCGACGGCCTTCTGCTGTTGTGGATCGGTCGCTGAGGCCCCGTTGCTCGTGCTGAACGGCCAACACCGGCAAAGTCTGTGCGCCGTAGCTCTTTTGCTTCTCTTGAACGAACCGCCTTGTTTGACCGCTGTCTTTGTTTGTTTGTTTGTTTGTTTGTTGGTTGTCTTGTTTGTGGGGACCGAGTGCTACCGCTCACGCCAAAAAAAAAATTGAGCTCCAAGTGGAGACCCGCAAACTCTACGCTTGCTAGGAGCTGGAAATAATCTGGTTTGATTGCAATCACAGCATACTACTGCTGGTCTGTGTATCCTGGAAAGCAAGGGCAGAATTGTGCATGAGTGTCCATAACAAAATCATCTCGAGTTTAAAATTTCAAAAACTTGAAGTCACTTTCAAGATGAAGAATAAGTTCGATTTTTAAGAATTGGAGTGCGCAATAAAAAAAGACATCTTATTTTTCTCCATTCCTTTCTTCTTCTTTCTTATGCAATATTTTTCTTTCAGTTTTGTTCCTCGATGTGTGTTGGCTTCCTTGAAGTTCTGTTCGTCATCAATGTCCTTTCGTCCTTTGCTTCCAGCAATCAACTTGTGCGATGGGTTTTCGCAGTTGTTCCGCAACCCTGGATTCGAACAATTGGGGAAGACTCGGGGGGGCGGAGAAACATTGTCGGTCGTTGGGTGGATCGACGGGAACTCCAGCATCAAAAGCTTGAAAAAGATTGCTCTTTGACTGAGCTTCCCAAGGAGCAAGGACGCCAAAAAAGGTGAGGCACTGGGTTGAGTCGCGGACACAGCGTGTCGGTGCTGCCCAAACACTTTAATCTATTTGCACGTTGGTAAAATTGGTGTGTCTCCAAAATGTTGGTGATGTTTTCCACCACTTCGCAATCCGGAGTGGCAGTAGTAGTAGCAGTAGTAGTAGCAGTAGTGTAGTCGTCGTAGTTTGAGTGTCGTGGAGAAGGAGTAACAGTGGCAGTAGTAGTAGTAGTAGTAGCAGAAGTAGTGGTCGTTGTAGCACTTGTACTGGTAGTTGCAATTGTAGTAGTTTGATGCGTTGTTCGGCACTGTGCGCTCTCGATCCGTGTCTGCTTCGGGAAAATGCTGTTGCTCCGCTACTGTTACTACTATTACCTCTACTACACTACGACGACGACTACTACTACCACCACTACCACTACCACTACCATTACCACTACCACTACTACTACTACTACTACTACTACTACTACTACTACTACTTCTACTAGTACTACTGCTAGTGCTAGAACTTTTGTCTTAGTACTTGTACTTGCACTTGCACAAGCACTACTTACTACTTCAATTACTACTACAACTACAACAACATACTACGACTGCTATTACTTTTTCCATTCCTACTATTACTACTGCTAGTACTACTACTGCTACTCTGCCACTAGTACTGCCACTAATTACTAGTGCCACTACTACTACAGTTGCTTTTTTAGTATTATTTCTACTATTACTCCTATTGCTGCTGCTGCTATTACTACTACCACTATTACTACCACTACTACCACTACTACTACTACTACTAGTACTACTTCTACTATTATTACCACTACTACTACTACTACTACTACTACTACTACTACTACTACTCCTGCTAATGCTATTACAACTGCTACGACGACGACTACTACTACGACTGCTACTACTACTACTACTACTAGTA